GGCAGGAGAATTGCCTGAACCCAGGAGGCGGAGGTTGCGGTGAGCCGAGATCGTGCCATTGCACTCCAGCCTGGGTAACAAGAGCAAAACTCCGTCTCAAAAAAAAAAAAAAAAAAAATTCCTCCTATTTTATCATACATATATAAGCCCCACTGTGAACAGCCCACTGTGAATAAAGAAGGTGTTCAACCAGAACTGGTACATTGAGAAAAGATGGAAAGTATCAATTGTTGGCAAGGAGAGGAATCAAGTGGAATCCCCAGGTACTGCTGATAGGAGTAGACATTCATACATTTACTTGACAAAACTTACTGGCTCCATCTACTAACGCTGAACGCATGTGGACCTTATGACCCAGAAATTCCATGTCTATGTATAGACCCAACAGAAATATGTGTACATACTCAAAAAACAACATGTTCTGGGAAGTTTGTAGCAGCTGTGTTCACGATAGTAAAAAACTGGAAACCATCCAAATGTCCATTCGACAATAGAATGGATCAATAAATTGTGATGTAGTCCTGCTGTGGACCACTACCCAACAATAAGGAACTAGCTACAACTACATGCAAGAATACGGGTGAATCTCATATGCAGAATGTGGAGCAAATGAAGATGGAGACACAAATACTGGTTATTTTAAGTTTTCATTTATGTAAAAACTCATCCACACCAGTAGAAGTCAGGACAATGTTTACCTTTGCAGGGCATGGGGATAATAACCAGCTGAGGCCCCCAGCCTCCTGAGTAGATGGGACTACAGGCACACGCCACCATGCCTGTTTTTTTTTTTTTTTTTTCTTGGAGAGACAGGGTTTCAGTATGTTGCCTAGGCTGGTCTCGAACTCCTGTGCTCAAGTGATCCTCCTGCATCAGCCTCCCAAAGTGTTGAGATTATAGGTGTGAGCCACTGTGTCTGGCAATGTTCTTCCTGATCTGGGAACTGGCTATATGGTGTGGTCCATTTGTAGATATTTATCTAGCTTACCTACTTTTTTTGCATGTATATTTCAAAAACATATTTGTAAAAAACCATTCCTCTACTGATGACTTGGTGGAGAAAATCTCAGCTTGGGTCTAGCTTAACTTGAATGCTGTGTTTAGATTGTTTCACTTTCTTAACTTGGGGAGAGTGTGCCAGCTTCAGAAGCTTCAGCCGGCAACGGTATCCAGCTCGAATCAAATAACATTGTTTTTTTCATTGTGTTTATTTTCATGGTTACCATCTATACTGGCTTTCCATTTATGGTAGTGATATAAAGTTTCTTTTAAAAATGTTCATAAGCAAAAAAAAAAAAAAAAAAAAAAGACAGTGAACTGCCTTACTTTAAAAAAGTTATGTAAATAATAGTACAGGTGGTACCTAGTTACGGTAAACCATGTAAGGGTGGGGTTCATGAAACACAGCTGAGATGGAAAAAGTCAGGGATTAAGGGGAAGGGAGAAAACTAGTCTTAGCCTGTCCCCATCTCTCAACCAGTCCTCACTGCTGGGCACAGACAGGCTGTCAAGCCTAAGGACATACCTTTACAGAGGACTCATGAGAAATCTGAAGTGAGGAATGCTCAAGGAACAATGGGATGCGCAAAGCAAGAGACAAGAAGAGAAAAACCTGGATTCACTCAACAAATAATCTTTGAGCATCTGTGTGCAGGCACTGTTCTAGCCCTGGGCCTACAGCAACAAACAAACTGCATGAGTCTCTGGGTCCTGGTCTGAGTACCATTACTTCTCCTAGGCTTCCTTAGATTGAGGATGCTCTGGATTCAAGCCTCTGTAGCAGCTGGCCTTTGTGGCGTGGGATTCTGAGTGAGGCTTAGGGGAGGTTAGGAAAGTCCTTAAAAAGATGGGGTTTCTAAATCACACTGCCATGGGTGTACTTATGCAACAATCTTACATGTTATTCACATGTACCCCAAAACCTAAAATGCAATAAAAAATAAAAATAGGCCGGGAGCGGTGGCTCAAGCCTGTAATCCCAGCACTGTGGGAGGCCGAGGCAGGTGGATCACGAGCTCAAGAGATCGAGACCATCCTGGTCAACATGGTGAAACCCCGTCTCTACTAAAAATACAAAAAATTAGCTGGGCATGGTGGTGCGTGCCTGTAATCCCAGCGACTCAGGAGGCTGGGGCAGGAGAATTGCCTGAACCCGGGAGGTGGAGGTTGCGGTGAGCCGAGATTGGTGCCATTGCACTCCAGCCTGGGTAACAAGAGCGAAACTCCGTCTCAAAAATAAAATAAATAAATAAATAAATAAATAAATAAATAAATAAAAAAGATGGGGGTACTTTGTTACAAGTTTGTGTGTATTTAGGGTGGAGAAAGTTCAAATTGGCCATTAACCTGGGAACTAGGAGAAAAGAATTGGGTGTGGCCTACAGGCTCATTAGAAAGAGAAATCTCATTGAGTACTTTGCATTTGTTAAGTCAGCATCACTTTGCCTGCTCATCTCCACTGCTCTTGGCTAAAAGATCAAGAACTTTAAAAGGAGGTGGAAAGAGAATGAATCTCAAAAGATAAGTGAGGAGCTGGACGTGAATGAGTGAATGTCACTCTTAGTCTCTTAACAGACTCATCGCAGCCTTTCATCCCCAGATGCTGGGCATTGCCATTAAGACAGAGAATGAGGGGTCCTGCCAGGAATATTTTGAGAGATTGTACTTTTCATTCACTTAACAAATATTTATTGAGTGTCTACCAGGTGCCAGGTCATATTTAGACCTGTGGGCTGTCCAATTTGGTAGCTACCTAGCCACACATGGCTATCAAGCATTGAATTTTGGCTACTTCAAACCAAAATGTGCTATATAGCAAACGCATTAGAACTTGAGGATTTAGGCCGGACGCAGTGGCTCACGCCTGTAATCCCAGCACTTTGGGAGGCTGAGGCAGGCAGATCATGAGGTCAGGAGTTCAGGACCAGCCTGGCCAACATAGTGAAACCCGGTCTCCTCTGAAAATAGAAAAACTTGGCCGGGCATGGTGGCTTGTGCCTGTAATCCCAGGTACTCCGGAGGCTGAGGCAGGAGAATTGCCTGAACTGGGACCCAGGAGGCGCAGGTTGCAATGAGCCGAGATTACGCCACTTCACTCCAGCCTGGCTACAGAGTGAGACTCTACCTCAAAAAAATAAAAAAAAAAAAAAAAAAAAAAAGAACTTGAAGATTTAGTATAGGAAAAGGAATGTTAAATCTCTCATTAATTTTGGTGTTGATTACACACATTGAAATGATAGTATTTTGGATATACTGCCAAATTACGTATATTCTTAGAATAAATGCCACCTATTTTTTTTTTTACTATATTTTAATATGGCTACTAGAAAATTTGCAGTTGCACATGTGCTTACATTTGCGGTTTGCAGATTTCTATTGGATGGCACTGTGCTAGACCCTGTCCCTACTCTGTAGGCGCTGGGTGGCTGGGTGGGGCAACAGAAACATGTTACAAAAGCAGGCACAAGACATCAGGAAACATGAAGGTGAAATGACCACGACCCTCCCTGTGTCTTTGTCTTTTTACTTTTTTCAGGTTAGCTCTCTACATAGTGCTAATGAGTTCCAGAAGTTCAGCTCTGTCCATTTCTTCCTCTGCTCAAACATGGATGCTGTATGTTTACTGCTCAGTATATTAAGCCAAACTTCCACACAGTCAACTGGAGTTCCTGCCTCCGGAATTGCTCTCTGCAAGCATCCTGCACTCTGGCTTAGGTGGATTCACTTTCTGATCCCCAACCTATTTTCCCATTTCTCTGTGTGTGTGTGTGGTTTTTTTTTTGTTTTTTTTTTTTTGAGACGGAGTTTCGCTGCAGAGGTTGCAGTGCGCCGAGATCGTGCTACGGCACTCCAGCTTGGCGACAGAGCAAGACTCCGTATCAAAAAAAAAAAAAGAAAAGAAAAGAAGGAAGAGCCAGAGTGGTGCGGTCGAGGGGCACTGAGGTTAGGGAGATTAAACCTGGGCTGGAGGCAGCTTAATGGCCCATCTCTCACCAAGAGAATCTCTCTGACAGGGGTCTTTGTTAGGGTCACAACCCAGGGGATGGTTGATGATTAAGGCTTTGTCCAGCCTGGAATGATGGGGGTTGGGGGCAGCTTGGATAGATGGCTCACTAAATGAAACAGAACAATGAAAGGAGGCCATCCTTGTCCATCTGTATTATTGAAGACAGCCATAAATGGCCTTAACCCCAGAGCGGGCCTCTCACACCTGGAGGGCTGATCTGACCTCTCCAAGACCCCTGCAGCAGGGATTCTGGGATCTGTCCGGCAACAAAGGCTCGGAATTTGTAGGCGGGGGCCCAGAGTGCTAAGGGATTATTTTAGCAGGCAGAGGCGGAAGGGGGGTCTGGGGCAGAGAAAGGAAGCAGTATTTGTGGGGCATTGCACTTCGGGTTCTCATAGGTTGTAGTCACAAGCTCCCGGCTTTGGAAAACTGCAATAGTTACTAAGAACATTCGGGGCTGTTTGGGTCTAGCGTGGTCACACGGGTCCGAAACACCGCAGGAACCACCCGACACCAAGCCATTGCTCCGAGCCACGTGCTAGTGCCGGTGATACCCCAGTATGGAGGGAGTTGGTGTGAGCCGACTGAAATCTACTTGAAGGTCAAAACGGTGCCTATGTCCTTTGTGTTCCCCTGCCGTTAGCCCAGTGCCGGCCACATGGGAAGCGCACAAACGAAGTCCTCGCGAACTGAGCTGAGGGCAGACAAAAGCACGCTCCCTTTTCCACCGCCACGCCGGTCCTACCCAAATCCGCAAGTTATCCGTATTCTACTCCAGGAGTCAGAGAGGCAGGGCCAGAAGAGGGAGGAGGGACGTGATCCGGGAAGAGCAGGGGACCCCCCCAGAGCCCGCAGGCGAGGCAGAGTGGGCGAACGGACTTGCGCGCACGCACTTTCCCGCGCGCGGGAATGTCGGGGGAAGGGGGTGGTCTCCAAAAGGGGGAGGGGAGAAGGCAGGGGGCGGGGAGAAGCCGGCCTTTTAAGACTCCGCTGCGGCGGCGAGGGACGAGGAAGAAGCTGAGGAGGCGGCCCCCGCGCTCGTAGAACCGTGCCACCTGCCCGCTAGCTCGCTCGCTGCGCCGCGCTGCCGATCGCCAGCATGCTTCCGAGACTGGGCGGCCCCGCGCTGTCGCTGCCACCGCTGCTGCTGCTGCTGCTGCTGGGTGCGAGTGGCAGCGGCGGCGGGGCGCGCGCCGAGGTGCTGTTCCGCTGCCCACCCTGCACGCCCGAGCGCCTGGCCGCCTGCGGACCCCCGCCGGTCGCGCCGTCCGCCTCGGTGGCGGGAACCACCCCCGTGCCCTGCGCGGAGCTCGTCCGGGAGCCGGGCTGCGGCTGCTGCTCGGTGTGCGCCCGGCTGGAGGGCGAGGCGTGCGGCGTCTACACCCCGCGCTGCGGCCAGGGGCTGCGCTGCTATCCCCGCCCGGGCTCCGAGCTGCCCCTGCAGGCGCTGGTCATGGGCGCGGGCACTTGTCAGAAGCTCCGGGACGCCGAGAACGGCGCCAGCCCAGAGCAGGTTGCAGGTAACATGGGCTGGGACAAAGAGTTGGGAGAAACTTGGAGGGTAGCGGAGAGCCCGGCGGCGGCCGTGATGCCGGGGAGAAGCGTGCGGCCGGACCTCACCGACTGTTGTAGGGGAGGCAAAGCCGAGACCTTGCACCAGATCTATGGGGACTGTGGCGAGCGGGACTCGAAAGTCAGGCCCGGGGAGGGGAACTGGAGTTAGAGCAAGTGGAAGAGCCCTGGAATCTGATTTGGTGGGGATGAGTGGGGAGAGGAAAGACATCCCTGCTGCCATAGTCTTACCCGCGTGGAACCGACCCTGACTTCTATTCTGGAGGAGGGATTTGCTGAGGAGAAGGATGGTGGTCAGATCCGTGGGAGTACGAACTCGAAGCTTATTTGGGGCACTGCTTGAGGATCCAGGGGTCCTGGTGGGATCGCTACTGGGAGGCGGAGGCTGCCGGGCGCCGATGACGCCAGGAACCTTGGAAGAGGAGAGGGAGCTAGGAGGAAGCACCGGCGTCCCAAGGGACCTTTTCTTCTACTGGGGTTGTGAGGTGGCAAGAAAGGACTTGGTACTTTGTAGGATGAGTGGCTTAGGAGAAAAAACGAACACTGATATTTCTCCCTAGGGAACGAGCAGGGCTCTTGCTACCACGTTGAATGGAAAAATGAAAGGGAGAGGCATTTGGTCGGCAAGGGGTCTCCCTAACAGCTGAATCCCTGTAACTTAAGCCCGATCGCCGGCTGCAGTCCCGGGACGGCGACAGCCTGGCTGTGCAGTTTCGCATCTGGGCCCCAGGTCGAAAGGCGGGAGAAATGTTACCACCCCCCACCCCCGCCCCCACCCCTTCCTGTAGGATACAATGGGGACCCGGGATTCTTTGTTCAGGGGCCCTCATCCCTCCCAAAAAGTTATTTGAGGGACACAACCAGGCTCTAAGGAGCTCACTTATTATTATTATTTTTTTAATTACAAAAGCCTCCTGCCCGAGTGGTGGGAGGAAGCTGTAATTTTTTTCTTTCTTCTTGGAGACAGTGGTGAAATGTGTCCACTGCCTGCTGCTGTTGTTTAAAAAGCAAGTGAGTCTAAGTTTCTCAAACTTGAAAAAGTGAGAACAAGAATGCTTGCTTTTCAGCTTCTGAGGTCTTTGTAAGCCCCCCACCCCCCACCTCCCCCCTCGCCTGGCCTGCTATTGTTTTTTTCCCTGTTCTCCTTGAGAATGGAATTAGGGGTCAGAGTTGAACTCTTTCTTCTGTTTCTCTGGCACATTTTGCTCTGGAGTGCAGAGCAAGTTAGGGCTTCCTCCGAGGGGAGCCCCTCAGTCCCTTTCTTCTCCCTCCCCTGTCTCTTTCTTCTCCCTCGGCTTGCTTCCTTCCCTAGCCGGCCTGGAAGTTTCCTTTCCTCCTGCTTCTCTTAGAAAGTAACAAGAAAAGGAAAGAGGCCCGACGAAGTCTTTTCACTGCGGGGTGCCCGTCCGCCCATCCTGCGTTCCTCCTCATCACCCCTCTGAGGTCCTACGGGGGAGGTGCTGTGCGGTTTCCGAGCTGAACTCTGACTAACTAAACATCTTCCTCGGCAGGGTGAACTTTCTGCAAGGCGTCTAAGTTCACAGAACGGTTTGGCCGCTGACTGTTTATTAATAAAGTGTGTGATGCCTTTCTTTCCTCAACGTTTTACTATTTTTTTTTCCTGCCCTTTGTTCGTCTCACTCTAAGCCTGAAAACCAATTTTCCTACTTCCCAAATCCTTGAAGCTGGTTAGGGTCTTTAGCCAGGAACAGATGCAGCAGATTTTCTCCCATTCATTTTTCCCAGGAGCCTGAACGGGGGGTGGGGGGAGTTGTCAGGGGAGGCCAGGGACAATGGGGTGAGTTCATGGGAAGAATGTCACTCTGGATTTTCTGCCTGCTTATGGGACTCCCTTCCGCCAGCTTGCCCCAGCTGCCTTCTCCTCCCCAGTGCCCAGACGCCTTCCGCATTTTCTTTTGTTCACCACCCTGGGAAGAGGGGATTTTCAGCCGGGATGGAAGGTGGGGGGCAGGGCTGGAAGCTGAGTGGGCGCACTCAAAAGAAGTGACCAACGTCGGGGTGCCTGAGAAAGAGTCGGGCTGGGGGAGGGGAACACTTTGGGAAGGAGCCTGGGCTTGCAAGGGTGCAGGAGAAAAAGGGGTCAAAGTTGGAGGCTTTTGTGTGGGAGAGGGTCTTAGACTGGGGCAGACACTGGGGTCACAGAATGGAGAGTGCTGGGTCTGAGTTGGGTGGGGTCTGCCCCAGACAGAGATCTTAGCACTGAATCATTTGCCTCCCACTCCATCTCCCGGCCCCTTTTCTCTTCCCTCCGAAGAATGAGCACCCCCCCTCCAGCCTGCATTCCTCTTTGAGCAGGTTGCTTTTGAGAATTTTAAACATACCCTCTTATTTCGAGGCAGCGAACCTCAGCAGTTCCGGCTTTGCTGTTAGCTCTTTTGTCTCTGTTCCCGGGACTCAGGGGCAGTGTTGCTGGCTTCCTGGGGATGGCAGGGATGCAGGGGTGGGGGTGGGCACATCAGTGGGTGGAAGGAGTGGGTGGTGGTGAGCCTCTATCCCACGGGGACGATGCGCTGAGGCTTGTTGGTTCAAAGAAACTGAGAAATCAGACCGGGGGGAAGGGGTGGATGAAAAACCGAAAGGAGACCCTGAGATCTGCTTGAAGTTGGGACTCTAAAAGCGGGTGTGTGTTTGGTGGTGGAATGGACGGAAGTGCTTAGAAATGTCAGGGGCCAAGGAGGGAGCAGGCTTGGGCCAGGCCAGGCCAGGCCCTATCAAAATTCAGGCAGGGCTGGACCGGCTCCCCGTCAATATCTCCCCAGCCTCCTTCCCTACCATGTACAAAGCAGGGGATTATACTGAGGGGCGGGGCCCGCTGCACGTATAAAGGTGCTATAGAAATGTGTAGTCATTCAAAGTCCCAGGACAGACAGACGGGCGGGCGGGCCTGGGGAGGCTCTGCATCTGCAGTTGCCAGGGAAGAATAAAGGGGGGAAGGGGCGAACACTGATTTACAGTGGTTCAGTGCAGCTTCAAAAAAAGGGGGGGCGGTGGGGGGAGAAGCAACGGGACTTCTGGCTCAGTACTGCTTCGCATCTCGTCTTGCATAAATTTGCATACTGAGTTCAAAGTGGTAAAATAGACCAGGGAAATGAGTGGGATCTACTGTCACTGATTGTTAACACCACTACCTTCCACCTCCCCTCCCCCCATCTGGACAGAGCTCCCAGCACTAGTTCTGCTAAGCAGCGCCACCGCCTGAGTCACCAGTCACCACTGTTCGTGGAAGGAGGAGATGGGGAAGCGCCTGTCTAGGAGACCAAGCAGGGTGTGGCAGTGTGCACCCGGGCCCTGCAGGGGGCCTCTCTAAAGGGGTGGGCTGGAGTTTGAGAAAGCTGCAGAATCCCTGTCTTCTTTGTTTGAAATTTCCCTACTCAGCTTCCACATATGCCCCAAGCATTTACTGCGTTAGGTCCCTTTGTGTAAAGGTCAATGATCCACTTCTTTAAACAAGATATTTGAGGGTGGTTCGAAAACAGAAAAATTCTATGTAACCATGTCAGGGAATCTGAGAAAAATGAGGCACAGGAATCTCTGGGTTAGAATAGCTGGCAGAGCCTAGAAGGAGGGGATAACTTACCTGTTGTATTCCTGAGGGTCTGTCTACATCAGGGCTCTTGGTCAAGTGGACTACTGAGTTTCCTGTCAGCAGAGGGAAGAGAGAGGCTTAGTTGGTTCTCATTGCTGGCCTACTTCAGGACCGAGCTTTAAGACTTCCAGGCAAATCATTCCTTCAGGCTTGGGGGCTGGGTGTGGTGGTTCACGTCTGTAATCCCAGCACTTTGAGAGGCCAAGGCGGGTGGATCACTTGAGGTCGGGAGTTCCAGACCAGCCTGACCAACGTGGAGAAACACCACCTCTACTAAAAATACAAAATTAGCCAGGTGTGGGGCATGCCTGTGATCCCAGCTGCTCAAGAGGCTGAGGCAGGAGAATCGCTTCAAGCCGGGAGGTGGAGGTTGCGGTGAACCGAGATCACGCTGCTGCACTCCAGCCTGGGCAACAAGAACAAAACTCCATCTCAAAAAAAAAAATGCCGGGTTGCCTGAAAGTGGGAGCATATCCATTCCCTCATTATCTAACCTTTGAGGGCTCACTTGGAGAGAACTGTTCCCTGGCCCAATCATCAGGTGGCTTCCAGTTGGTTTTCAGCTGGGCTGTTCACTGCCATAGAAAATGGGAGGTACAACTGTTCAATTCTTTTTTTTTTTGAGATGGAGTCTCGCTCTGTTGCCCAGGTGGGAGTGCAGTGGTGCGATCTTGGCTCATTGCAACCTCTGCCTCCCCGGTTCACGCGATTCTCCTTCCTCAGCCTTCCGAGTAGCTGGGAATTCAGGTGTGCACCACCACACCCGGCTAATATTTTTGTAGTTTTGGTAGAGGTGGGGTTTCATCATGTTGGCCAGGCTGGTCTCAAACTCCTGACCTCAAGTGATCCTCCCGCCTTGGCCTCCCAAAGTGCTGGGATGACAGGGATGAGCCACTGTGCTCGGCCACAACTGCTCGATTTTTCTATGAGGAAGTTCTGAAAATTCTGCACCAAAGGGAATGGAGAATGGGTAAATATCTACGATGCCTGGCAGGACAGGGCAGGGGGCTGCTGAGAGGAATGAGGGAGGAGCAGAACAGAAAAGGGCTGTGAGGCCACGTCCACATCTGGCTTTGTTGTTGCTCCTTCCCACATTCTAGAACACTCTCCAAAAGAATAAAGCTTAGTTTTTTTTTTTTTTTTTTATACTGTGTATCTGGGAATTATTTTTATTAGTATTATTTATTTATTTTGAGATGGGGTTTTACTCTGTTACCCAGGCTGGAGTGCAGTGGTGCAATCTTGGCTCACTACAACCTCTGCCTCCCGGGTTAAAGTGATTCTCCTGCCTCAGCCTCCCCAGTAGCTGGGATTACAGATGCCTGCCACCATTCCTGGGTA